AAAAAAGATAAAACTTAACAATAAAAAAGTAATTTAACACAAAAAATCCTTATTTCAATAAGATTACATATAGTACAAAAATCACAAGTAATGCTTAAATCTTCTACCACACATCCAAAGGTATTTACAGATTTTTAAAGATCCTGTGTAAAATTTTAACATTATTAAATGCACTAACAATTACAGCACAAATTTTCACCTGAAGCATTATCTTAAACTTTATTTGAAAAGTTTATATTTCATTAATTTTTGAAAAAGCTATTTAGAGACTGAAACAAATTTTCAAGAGAAAGTCTGGTAACAAACTTAACTAAGGACCTCTAGTGGACAAAAGTTTAAATTACAGGACTTAAAATACTCTCACGAACTAAGAGAAATGAAATGTCTGATATTCCGTAACAGTAAACCATCATTATCCAGGTGAGGATATTATTAAGATTAAATGAATTAATACATAAAAAGGCTAATTACAATGCCTAGCACATTATAAATGCCTAGTGAATTTTAATTATTAGAATCTGTTGGATTTTATTAGCACTTACATTAATTTAACCAGAATGATTTCTAAATTCATTATTGGTCAAAATGAAGCTAATTTAAATATTTTTGGCCTATGAAATTATCATAGTGTTTTTTTTAGATGACAATGCACAGTGCTGGAAAAGATATAAACTCATACACTGACAGTAACACTACAAATAATCATAAGCATTTTGGAAATCATTTTAGCAGTATCAAGTGCCTGATTTGAAGATATACACACACATGGTCCTTTGTCTTCTGAAAGACAGTTTATTCTTAGGTTCAAATATCCAGTTTAACAGCAAATATTACTTAAGAGCCTACTGCTCACTGACATTATAATAAGTGGTAATAGTAAGTGTAGTAAGTGGAAATCTCAGGTGGTGGTTATACTATTAAATGCATTTTCCTGATTAATTTGCATTTGAGCTTTGACATTCCTTCTCTAGATCATTATGCTGCTTTGCCATTTCTGAGCTTCAATATTTCATCAAAAATTTTTTTTTCAAATTTTTTCCATTGAAATTGTTAGTTCTTCTTAAAAAATTTTTCTATTTTATGATTTTTCAAATTACAACAGTAATATGTGATTCTTGTAACAAGTAAAACAGTATCATACAAACATGTGCAAAGGTAATCATCCTTTCTTGAGCTCCATTTTCCTAACTGTGAGAAACATGGTTCCCATTATTGTTAATGTATTTATCTCATCAATCTCCCTGAATGTAACCAATCTCCCATCTCCATTGCCATCCCCACCCCGAACAGCAATGTGCTCACTAGACTTGGGCTCTGATTTGTCTCCCCTAAACCCTTATCACCTGAGTTTGTTTGTCCCCACACTTAGACTCCTTCCCCAACCTGCTTAGGCTCTGAAATCACACTCTAGGCCAACCTAATCCCCACCTGAGTGAAGAAGCCTACCTCTGCCCAACCTAATGACTTTAGGTCTGAATTGTTTGGAAACTAGTAGAAGAGGTTAAGATGAAGGGAAAAGGGGTGTTATGATAAAGGGAAACAGGGGTGGGGAGGGTGGAGTGAGGCAAGGTGTTACTACAGTAGGCCTGAGATTGCTACCTTTAGAAAGGCCTTCTTACAAAATTGGCCCCTGGCTGGAGTCTGGGATTTCAGGGGGGTTCTCACCATTCCTGGATAAGAATGGTTAACTGTGCCTAAACTACCTGAGCAAACAGTGTGCCTTATGATGCACACTTCTTTTCCTCTGGCAGTCTGGAAATTTGGTACACACTAGGCAAAGGGTGCCTATGTTACCAGTTCTCATTAAAAAACCTCAGCATGAATCTCTAATGAGCTTCTCTGACAGACATGACTGAACCCTAACTAGGATAAATCCAGCGAAATCCATGCCTACACACATTATAATCA